GTATAATATATTTGTTTTGATCAGAATCATCCTGTAGATGTATCTTATGAGGTATTATCAACTTGCTAAACTTATTTATGTAGGAGATGAAATCATTGCCCAGCTCTTAAACGTTATATTATCTTCAACATTCTCAGTCTGATCCAGAAGTACTTAAAGATGTTCAGAAAACTCGATATTCATAAAAAAAAGTTTTGTTTCAATTTGAAAATAAAAGAAAATCACGTTTTTAACAAAAAAAAAATGTCCATTTTCATTTCAAAACAAAAGAAGATATCGTGTCTTATTGATAAAGAATGTCGTTTGAATCAGAAAGCAAAAGAAAAGAAAGTATCGTTGTGACCAAAAACATTTTCCATGTGATAAAAACTGGAAGAAAACCGGCAGTTAACCGCGGTTTTACCGATTCCCGTCGCTACAATTTACCGTGGTAAACCACCGGTTTTGATGAATACCGCGGTTTACCGCTAAAATGAACCGATTAACTAGTTCGCCAATGATCATTAACATTTAGTTGCTCCAAATCATCGATTTTGCTATTTTAAATGTTTTTTTCTTGTACCTTTCCATGTCGTAAAAATGCTCGGAAAAACCGCCGGTTTACCGCGATTCTACTGATCCGATTATCGGCTCCCGTTACTGCAATTTACTGCGGTAAACCGCCGGTTTTGATAAATACCGCGGTTTACCGCTAAAAACTGTCCAGTATTTACGAGATGGGTTCGTTTCGATTTCAAAATAGAAGAAAATCTTCTTTCGGCAAGTAAGAATTTTGTTTGAACCAGAAAACAATACAAATCTCATTTTAACAAAAAAAAAATTTTATTTGAATCAGAAAACAAAAGGAAATCTCGTTTTAACAAGAAAGAATTTCGTGTGAATTAGAAAACGATAGAAAATCCTGTTGAAATGGAAAAGGATTATATTTCAATATTGAAATAAAAGAAAATCGCGTTTTCAAGAAAAAGAAATTTAGTTTGATCGGAAGGAAAGAAAATCTCTTTTTAAAAGAAAGAAACTTATTGCGATCTAACAATAAGTCTTGTGCTATCAAGTTTCTTTATGCACCGAAAATACTTTATTTTTTAATATTTCGACTATTATTCTAGTTTTAGGTATACCATTGTGATGTCTGATCACATAAGGAAGTTATTAAATCGATGATTTTTCTTTTGTTGGTACAAGAATTTTGGTACTATATTTCGTACTCTGTTTATTATAAACAATTTGTCAATCTTATTTTGGATCGAAAGCGGCCTATCTTAGGAGTACTATTGATAACTCCCTATCAGATCCAGCATATTATACTAATGAATAGGTTTTTTCCACGGTAAATTTTCTTCAAATCAATTTAAATTTTTGTTCAATCTGCATAGTTAACATTTAATTTTAGTTAATTGGAAAGCAGTTTACAAAATACAATGAATAAATACTTGCTTTGCGTTCATTTTGATGTTGAGATTGATTAAATAAAAACATTAACTTTTTATTGTTGATACTCTTTCATTTCATTTTGAAAAAAATGATTATTAAAAAAAAATACTTAAACGGGAATACATTTAATGAAAAGGGCGTAATTTAGTGTTCGTTGAATCACAATCAAATGTTTGGAGACAGTTGATAATTTTCTTCAGCATGATTTTGTGCTGATAATCTGATGGGAACATTTCTTCTTCATATTTATTGATCAGTAGTCTTTGGTCAGTAACAGTGTATATAGCAGGATGAGTGAGAGAATGTCGTTCTAACGAAATTTTCTTTAAATCTATTAATTTAATTGATGCATTTGTTTATTCTCTAATTTCATTTAAATTGGTGACAAAAATTGTTGTATTAATGTGTGTTTTTGAACTTGATCATAAAATGTATCTTTCTTATTTGAATTCAAGAGTGTGAGTGTGAGTGTCGGGGAGAAGGGGAAGAGTGGGTGAAGGGAAGATCCTCATAATCACACCCACCGACACTCACACATCCTTGTTTCTTTGATTTTACGATTGCACATTTGCTTGTTTGCATTCTTGTCGAAAAATGTTCAGTTCGCGTAAAACATCACCTTTCATTCCACTTGGTAACAATGGTGAGAATGTATTAAGATATAGAAATAAATGTAATCTATTTTTGCCACTTATGAAATCGTACATTGCGAGTAATTAATAATTTAATGATTGTATTGTAAAAAAACTGCTGTAAGATCTAATACAAGGTTTGAAAAGTATTGCATTGGTAAGATCCGTAGCTAGATAAGTTCGAATAAATGTTTCGAATTCGAAATTATCAATGGCTTGAATGCATTTTCTTTTGTTAGTTGTTGTTGTGAACAAACAATGAATATGATGAGTGAGAGAAGAAAGACAATAGGAAATGTGCATGCAACTTTAGCGATGTATTTCTTTTTTTTATATGTCAACTCATAATTTATCCATTCCAGACTATTCGCGTAGTCTATTCTCGCCAACCAATAATACCCTATAGTCTATGAACACACATACATGAATTATCATATCAGTCCTCAAATGGAAAATACGCAAGCAAAAAACAAATGGTTGTGATAAGCTATAAGCTACATACACTTTGATATACGTACACTTTTTCCATTGCATTAAAATGATACTGAACCTCTACGATAGAACAGAGGGCGTAGAATACGAGGATATGTACGTTTAAATGAAAAAACTAAATATAGGAAAAAATTTTTTCGATTTGTTTGACATCAATGTGACATAATTCAAGTCATTTAAGAAAATGATAAAATATGCAGAAGGAAAAATATCTATTCCTTCGTATGTGAAATATTTTCATGAAAATATATTATCAATTAAATAGTGTCAGATTAACTTTGTTATAGTTGAATAAGAAATAAATCTTGTTATTTATTATCTATCATCAAAATTATAAACATTTAAAACAAAGACTAACTTATAATTCAGTATGATTTTCATAATAAACATCTATATTTAAAATCAAATCGTTAGTAAAGAATAGTCTTTTTTATTTTTGTTGATTACTTAAGATCTATCACACTGCATTCATTTCAGTTTGTGTAAATTGTTCACAATCGTATTTTTAATATAAAAAAATGCACAATAATTGCAACTTTTAGCGATGTGGTTTCATGTGAGTATAATACTCAAATTTTCGTCAAATTTTGGAAGAAAGAGAATTACATCAGTTTCCATCATAAACGTTTCTACTATTGCAGTCATCCCAGTTTCCACTCTAGGCTAGTTCCTATCTATAAAAAATTTGAACGACTTCTTGAAGTAATTTATATAAAGTATATAGATATGAAAACACATTTGGATATTTTTTATGTCTGTTTATTTAGAAAATAGAGAACTTTTCATATTTCAACAAACATTTCGCTGTTGTTAAGAGAGAGAATATTATAGTTATTTCATTCTTGTTCTATCGTTGCTTTTGAAAAGTAATAGAGAAAATATGCAGTGAGCTCACATAGATAATCATCTGTAATAGGGGAAACGATAGAGAAAAATGCAATTGAAACCGACATAAAATATGAGGAAGGGATGTTTCTAATCTGGTAAGACGCTTCAACATCATATTGATTGCCATGAGCTTTTCATCTCAGAGTTTAATAAACTGAAAACTCAAATTTGCAGACAATTCAGAGTGTCATTATTAGTTACATGAAATTTACGAAAGTTTATAGCAGTTGACGCTGAGCACATTCTTATTGATCATCTTTTGTAGAAGTTTCCTCAGAAGGAATACGAATATGATCGGCAATCCGTACATAATGAGAAGGTCGTTTAGTCTTACTGATAAATATTTTTGTCTTTTGATTTGTTTTTTCTTTAAATATTTTTATAATTGAAATTTTACCAGATAAATTGAAATTCTGATAAGTTTTTGCAAAACCACTCATTCATCCATCTATAGCTTTTTATTCAAATGAAAGCATCTAATTTAAATTGAGAAGTAAATCATTTAGAAAAAATAAAATTTCATAATGACACGTAATTCATTGATGATCTGTTTACTTTTTTGAGGGAAAAAATATTAGTTTCTCTTCTACATAAATGGGATAGACATTTTATTTTTATAAGATCATGATAGATGAGTTTGCATATGTTTTAAACATATTCTAACTTATTTTCAATCTAGCATGATACCTTCACTCAAATCAAAATTAACTTTCGTCTCTTTTAAGACCATGATTTTTTATTAATTCAATTTAAAATAATATTTTATATGTATTGAGTATTAACATTAGTCTTAATAATATAGGACAAATCTTTAAACAAATACTTGCAGTTCGTCTCGTACAAATCATTTTATTCATATAAATCATTCATAGACATCACATCAAACAAGTGTCGGATAAATGAGAGTAAAAAATGAACCGTCATTCTATTGATTCAAACCACTGAGGACAAGTGACATACAAAATTGCATCTTGTACTTTCGAGATTCAATTTTAACTTCCCAAAAATATGAACTTGGGTCCACTTTCGCTGAAATTGCTCATATATGGGATTGGCCAGTCTGGCCGGAAGCCCCATCAATATTTTTTGTATTGTAAGGATAAAACATACTATTGTTCGGGTCATATGAAACAGGATCATAGATAACCTTGGATTGGCCCGAACGACACCATGTTTTATCCTTACAATAGTTGAGAAAAGTTACCAGCTTATAGTGTGAGCTAGTAACTTTTCTCAACTATTGTAAGGATAAAACATGGTGTTGTTCGGGCCAATCCAAGGTTATCTATGATCCTGTTTCATATGACCCGAACAATAGTATGTTTTATCCTTACAATACAAAAAATATTGATGGGGCTTCCGGCCAGACTGGCCAATCCCATATATATATCTGTCATGCTATATAAGGGCAAAAATTCATTTTTTAATCTAAACAACACAACTTGTATAAAAAAAAGTAATAACAGCTGAATTACAATTGTAAAGAATACATACTACAACACTTATCAAAAAAACCTAGCTTGTGTAAAAAATGATAACATAGATATAAAAATTCTAAACCATAGGCGCTGTAGCATGTTCCTTTTTTGGAACAACATGATGCAAAAGTAAAATAGAATAGTCATGTACAGTTATTTTTTCACCAGCTTGATAGATTCTTCCTTCATCACCTTCAATAATAACTTCATCTTTACTCGTATCTAATATTAATGTCCAATCTTTAGCATATTCTTCTCCAGGTAATGTATAATCAATATATCCATGATAAGCATTAAATATAATATAAAAATTATCATCAGTAACTCGTACACCAAATACTGTACGACCTTGCATTCCTCGACCATTAATAAAAACACCAAATGATTTGGCATAGTCATGTTGCCAATCTTCGTCTGTCATATGATTACCATCAAATTTAAACCAAGCTATATCATCAATTTCACCAGGTTTTACTGGTTTACCACGAAACCATGTTCGACGACGAAAAACTGGATGTTGACGGCGTAAATGAATTAATTTTTGTGTAAATGCTAACAATACTTGATCAGCTTTTTCCCAATTTAACCAAGATATTTCATTATCTTGACAATATGCATTATTATTACCTTGTTGTGTTCGACCTAATTCATCACCTGAAATAAAATTATATTTAATTCTAAATTTATTCTAAACTTTAATGCATAAGAAATTATTGAATGAATCATTTAAGATACTTTAAATTAATTTTTTTTTCAAAGAGTTTACATAGTAATTGCTAATTCTTTCAATCGAATACTATTTATGTTCATGAAATTGGCATAAAGAATTTATTTTTCACAGAAAACCACAAATCTAAAAGATGAAGGTTTTATTCTGTTCTCTATATGCTCAGAACTGTCACCATCTTGCCATATACTTAGGGCAATCTAAAAGTAGTGGCGGAAGTATGTAAGTATCTTATAAAAAACTTTCTCTCTATATAGTCTGATAGTAAAAGCAATGCTCTATTTTTCTCTAATATTTATTTAATCATTCTTTAACTAATATCATAATAACAAAAAAGTTTGATAAGATCTATTTGTTACAAAAGATAACGATAATATTAGATCATATTTTATCTTAAATGGATATCCCTTTCTTGATGTTCTGTTTCTCGTCTTCTTCTACGCCTAGCCGTCGATACATATTAGAGTATATAAAAAGTAGTGGTGATAGAACAACAAAGAAACACAAAAAACAAGTTGATCAAGTTTTTATTTAAGTAATTCTCTCGATTTGGCACCATGTGATTTTCGGTTATTTGACTTAATCAAACAAAATCTAACCGATCAAAACGATTTTGAATCGTTGTATCGTACTGTGTCCAACTTCATGAACTCTTTAAATAAGATAGAGTAGAGAACAATGTTTAATCAATGAATTCAACGAATACAATTATGCATAGATAACCACGACGATTACTCTGAACACCTGATGAATTTGTTTCTGTATCTCTTTCTTTATTCTACCATCAATACTTTTTGTATACTCTAATATGTATAAACGACTAGGCATAACAGGGAATGAGAAACAGAACATCAAGAAAGGACACACATCGAAAACAAAATATGATCTAATAATTATCGTCACTTATAATAAAACAAAGAGATTTTTTTTTTCGAAATTTTATTATTATGATATTAGTTGAAGAATGATCAAATAAATATCACAGAAAAATAGAGCATTGCTTTTACTATCAGACTATATAGAAAGTTTTTTTTATAAGGCATTAAAATACTACCATCACTACTTTTGAATTATCCTAGTAGTTTCTATTTTTTCAATATCTTTTTTGTTCATTTACATTTAAAAATGTCTTTTCATTTAATCGTTAGTTATTTTTTTGAAAAATATCGAAACCAAGTTTTCTATTATAATAATCATTTTAATGTAATCCGTTATTAAAAAGTAGTAGAAATATTTCATTGACTCTTTTCAATAATAACTCCTAATTTTCTTATTTTTATCAATGAAAAAAAAAGAGAATTTCATTTAACTAACCTGCAACTAACATTGGAATTCCTTGAGATAAAAACAATGTTGTTAAAAAATTTCGTTTTTGACAATCACGAAATTGATTAACGTTGACATCGTCCGTTGGACCTTCAGCACCACAATTCCATGAACGATTATGACTTTCACCATCAAGATTACCTTCACCATTCATCTCATTATGTTTTTCATTATATGAAACTAAATCATGTAATGTAAAACCATCATGAGCTGTTAAAAAATTAATTGAAGCTGTTGGTCCCCGACGTTCTTCAAAATATAAATCTGAACTTCCAGTAAAACGTTCAGCAAATTCCGAAAGCATGCTTGGTTGACCACGCCAATAATCTCTAACGCAATCACGATATTTTCCATTCCATTCAGCCCAACCTGGTGGAAATTTTCCTATTTGATAACCACCTTCACCTAAATCCCATGGTTCAGCAAGTAATTTAACTCGACCAATAATTGGATCTTGATGAATTATATCAAAAAATGCACTTAAACGATCAACTGCATGTAATTCACGAGCAAGTGTTGCTGCCAAATCAAATCTAAAAAATAAAATAATCAGAATGATTCATTATCATCTATCCAACGATTACTATTAGCTAACTGTTCGAAAATACTTCACCCTTTTTCCTCAATAATGCATGGCTATTTTTTTCCTAATATGAAAGTATTAGATAGAAAATGAATTACCTAAAACCATCAACATGCATATCCAAAATCCAATATCGAAGACTATCCATAATTAATCTTAATACATTTGGTAATCGACAATTAAGTGTATTTCCAGTACCAGTATAATCAAAATAAAATCTTTTATCATGTTCTGTAAGACGATAATAACTGCTATTATCAATACCTTTAAACGATAATGTTGGTCCAAGTTGATTTCCTTCACCAGTATGATTATAAACAACATCAAGAATAACTTCAATACCAGCTTTATGTAATTTTTTAACCATTCTTTTAAATTCAAGAACTTGTTCTCCATAAGTTCCAGATGATGAATAACGAACATCTGGAGCAAAAAATCCAAGTGTATGATAACCCCAATAATTTGTTAAACCACGATCTTTTAAATAACGATCAGTAACAAAATGTTGTACAGGCATTAATTCAACAGCTGTTATTCCAAGTTTTTTAAAATATTCAATTGTTGTTGGATGTGCTAATCCAGCATATGTTCCACGTATTTCTTCTGGAATATCTGGAAGTAATTTTGTAAAACCTTTTACATGTAATTCATAAATAATTGTTTCATGAAAAGGAATATTTAATGGAGTATCACCACCCCAATTAAAATTACTTGAATCAATAACAACACATTTTGGCATAAATGGTGCACTATCAACAGTACTAAATGATAAATCTTTTTCTGGAGATTGATCATTAACATCATAACCAAATAATGCATCATCCCATTCTAATGTACCAGTAATAGCTCGTGCATATGGATCAATTAATAATTTATTTACATTAAAACGATGACCATTTTGTGGATCATAAGGACCATGAACACGATATCCATAGATTTGACCCGGTTCAAAATCAGGTAAATAAATATGCCAAATATGATGTGTTCGTTCTAAAATAAAATATTTCGATAAAAATTTCACAAAAAAAAAAAAATTTTGAAAAAGAAAAAGATTACCTTTCATTTTAATTCGAGCATATTCAACTAATTCATGTGTCGCATCATGAGCTGGTCGAAATAAACATAAAAATGGTCTAGTTCCACATTCTGAATATAATGCAAAATTAATTCCATGACCATCATAAAATGCACCTAATGGATGTGGATTTCCTGGATATGTTGTTATTTTTGGATCTTCCCAATTCAAATCACAAGATCCAGCCATATCAGTTGAATCTATATTTTTCTATTAAAAAAAAAAGATAATTAAAACATTCTATAAGAGGAAATAAAATATTAAGAAAAAAAAAAATTAAGTGCAATTTAATTTTTGTTTTATCATAAATGTTAAGATAATAGTGCGTAAAATTGTTCTTATTCTTTTCATGCATGTATATATCATCATTGACGACTGATAATGTATATCAGTCTAGAATTTTTTCTCATATTTTTGTATTAGATATAGAAGCTGTTATCTCTACCCACTTTAAACTAATCTTATAAATAGATATTTCTCTCAATCTATTTGTAATTAGTTTTTGTGATTGAAAAATTAAGAAAAAAAAAACTAAAATATCTCAGCTACGTTTCAAATGAAAATCCAAAGCAATATTTTTCATGGCAAATTTACCAAGCAGAAGTAACAAAACATGCCAGACATCTACTACTTCTATTCAAACATGCTGTTTTAAGTTTTGTACAGAACAGCAAAATGCACTGAGTACACTCTGCTGTATACATAATACTTTGTTTACAACATGATTATATGTATTTTGTAACAAAAAAATAAAATATAATAAAATAATCCTTTTTTTTTTCTAAAAAGCATCACTTACTTTTTATCCTACAATCTCTTTTTAATTATATTAGGGCAAAAAGTACAAAAATGTATTTTTCGCTTACCATCTATTTTAATTATCGTATAGGTATTCTTGTCAAAGCACGAAAGATTAATTGGTTTTTTTAATATTTTTTTAATATATTCTATATAAAATTTCATTAGTGTGCATTGTGAAACTATCTACATACGAAAAAAAAAAGTATACACATATACTTTACTAATATAAACAAAGCGTAAAAAAGATATCGTATTTTGGATCAACGTTTCAAATGGAAATTCAAAACGAAATGTCTTTTTACACTCTACTTATACTACTAAAGTGTATGTGTACACCGCTTTTTTCGTAAGCAGAGAGTATTATAATATATATTTTTTTCGTCATATAATCGTGGAGATTTTGCAGGATTAAAAAAAAAAAGAAACAATATTTTTTAAAAAAAGAAATAGAAAAAATTATATTTAATAATTTTCTGTTAATAGATGCATATAATCACCTGGAGAACAAACCGTTACTTTTTTTTAGAAAATATTATTAAGTAGATTTTGTTGTTCTGCGCAAAATTTTAAACAGTATGTATACCGACGTAGCAGATATTCTTTATACTTTGCTTTTTTTTGACGCATCTACCATCAGAGATACTATATCTTGCTACAAATTTATCTGAAATAGAAAAACTCTATTGAAAAAAGTCTATAGAAGGATAAAAATAACTAGTAGAGTGCATTATACGATGATATAACCTATGAAGATTAATACGGGTCAATGTCTCATGCATTGAGTGATGTAACATCTAGATTTGATGAAAACATCAGAAAAAAAAATTTTGCTAGAAACTAATTAAATTAAACGGTATATTTACCAAAATATTTCTAAATTTAGGAAAGATGAATTTTATGCAAACGATGGCGCTAGACTACAATAATGTGTTAATAAGAGTACAAGAAATTTTACTTGAGAACAATACAAACATGAAATATCATTAAAACTAACTTCTTCATTTTAGTTGATCATAAGAATTTAATATCATAAATATTTCATATCAATGATATATTTCATATGTTAACAATATCAATTTTTCAAAATGAACTTCATCCTAAGTGCATTAATGAATTTCTAGTTCAACATTAATTTGATGATTCATGCATATCTGACGACCAAAAGGTGATTGTGTGAAGTAAGCAAAAGTCGAGTTCGTTGGACCGTGCTATGCTTTTTATTTTCTATATATGTCAAAAGATAGGTATCGATATGCTTGTTAAGATAGACAATATTCACCGTCACACCCACACCCTGTTTAAATTATTCCTTTCAGGTGAAATTTTTTTATTGAAATAAGTTATTATCCTTTCATCATAAATTTTTTTCAATTTTCGCTTGCTCAATTTTGATAGTTGCACTCAATGCATAAAATTCTAATCTTTCAAGCCTGCGGTTTTCATCAATCGAAGGAGGTGATATGGAGACGTCTTTTTCTCCAATGTTATATACGACAAATTCATTTTAAAATCAACCCTTTTTAGAAAACATCGATAAAATGTACAAAAATATTCTATCGTTGAGGTGAAATTTTTAACAAAAAATAAAAAAAATTCAAGAGTAATTCGTATTTTTTGAGGAAGCAAATAGAGAATTGCATTTGCTTAATATAAGAAGATGTGAAGATAATCATTTAAATTATATCTTAAGCTATAGATCTGAAGTCTGTCTATCTAGATCATATATTAAAATCAAAATCTCATCAAAATAATAGACCGTTATCACGCATCACATTTTCCAATGTTTTGAGAAAATGATTGATTCTAAAATAAATTCATCGTATACAATATCAGAGAAAAAGACGTCCTCATACTATCTTCTTCGATTGGTGAAAACCACAGGTCTCTAACTGTTTCTGTTCTTGAGTTATTCAACAAATAGTCACACGCATGGACTTTTTGGACAGACTATAGTTCGCTTAAAAATAAATGTGGAAACCTCGGATTTAAATCCGAGAGTTATGTGTACTTCAAAAAGTGAATCAGACAGAGGAGTCACCCTAGAATGTGTGAACATCAAAATTGCCCTGGCAAACCCTTTCTGTAAACACTTAATTTCTATTGGCTATTGCTCAGTCAATACGATTTGGAGGCAAATACAGCTCAGATTTGAACTCTTCACCTTGATTTACCCTAAGAAACTCGTTTTTCCTATAACTTGATTTCTATTGGTCACTGCTCAACCAATGGGATTTCGAGGCGAATGGAACATAGATTCGAGTTCTCCATTCTAGAAAACCTCGAACTATTATCTCTGTGATGGGAAGATAGAACTCTAATTGTGGATCATATAGAGCGTGGACAAAAACAGAACCGAATTCCGATTAATTATCTTTGCAATAGGCGAGTTAGCTTTCTTGTTTCTTTATGTTTTATATACCATTTTGTAGCTCGTGAAATTCTCTATCGAATGGTATATAATAGTTGGGGTTTTAGTTGACTATTCAAGGAAAAGTCTTTTACGAAAGTGGGGATGGGTCGATCTTTCCATAGGGAAGGTGCAGGGAAAAATGAGTATTTTTGCAATAACTCAGGAAGGACTCGGCCAATCCTTCTCATCTTCTTCTCTCGACTGAGATATTGTTAAGACTGAACTGTGTAGAAAATTTCATCGCGATCGGACTCTTCTTTCGAAAGTTATCGTGTTAACGGCCGGCCGGACGGACGGACACACTGACCGATTCTAGAGTGTACTCACTTTTTGAGTACACAAAAAGAACATTAGTGTGTTATGTTCGAAGTGTTCCCCTTCGAACATAAGACAGAACGAAACGAATAATGAGTACTCCTTTCTAGTACAGTGGTTAATACAACTGCCCGGAAAGCAGGAGATGCATGGTTCGATTCCATGCGAAGGGAGATTATTCTTTTGTTCCGTTCTGTGGTCATACCATCACGTTGCTATCTCGCTGATAACAACGCGTAACAGTGTGAAAATAAGAATATCCTTTCGATGTAACAGTATGAATCGAATCCTAATGAAAGTTTTCTTACTCGTTTTGGTCTCTAAAGTAACACTCTAGAGAATATGCAATAGAAATCGATATTTTACATTTAAAATTATATTTCGTTGTGTTGTGAACCTTTTCCAAAAAAGAATTATATTAGTATAATACAAACGACGTTCTTCGATAACATCAGTAATTCTAAGATGCAGCTTTTATTCCGTCAAGCTTAGAAAACTTATGAAAGGTTATCTTGTCGATTTATATTATGTATATTACTAATAAAGATTTTGCTTTATTGTTTTTTTTTTCTTGGTATATATATATCATGAAATTATCAATATTACTCTAAATGAAATAACTTTTGCAGTATAAAGAAAATTCACTTTAAACAATTAAAACAACTTTAATTTTTCGTATATTCATATTTTAAGAATTATTTTAATAGAATTATTTAAAATCTTCAAAGGTAACGCGTGGTATCAAGTAAAAATTTCTAAATAAGAATATTTTATATCAAAAGGAATAGATCATTGACTTTGATATTTTATTATATAGAAAATTAATTGTTGCCTCAATTAATAAGTGTCAATATGGGTGTAGATACAACTGAAGATTTTCACCCACACATAAAAATATGAATCGATACGAAACACGATGATCTTCCTTATGTCCGAAAATGTTAGATCCGTCCTCATTTATTAGAAAAGTTAAATTGTTATTCATTATTATTATTATTATTATCCTTATTAAAAATAAAATAAAATAAAATATTCAAATATAATTCTCATAGTATAATCTAAACGATATTTATTAATGAAATAATTTTCTTTTAAAAAAGAAAAAAAGAATTCTTGTAAACTTGAAAAAAAGAAAAGAAAAAGAATATTTAATTATTTATTTGAATTGATTATCTTTGGTATTGTTTCATTTTTGATAATATCTTTTGAAATTCGATGAATTGTATCAACGAAATATTTAACATTATCAATATTAGCATCTGGATATATTCCATGACCTAAATTAGCAATATAATTTTTTGTTCCAAATATTTCAATCATTTGTTTAATCATTTTTTCTAAATCATTTTGTGATGCATAAAGTGCACAAGGATCAAGATTTCCTTGTAAAGTAATATTTGGATATTTTTCTCGTAATGTTCGAATTTGTTTTCGTGTTATTGTCCAATCAAGACCAACAACATCAAATGATGATGAACATAATTCATCTAAAGCATAATGAGCATCTTTAGCAAATATAATAAGTGGTACATGAGGAATTTGACGACGTGATAATAAATCACGAACACCTTTTGCAATTTGACGTAAATAAGGTAAAGAAAAAACGAACGAATAAATCATGATTTAAACATTCACAATGTGATTCAAATAATTGAAGAAGTTGAGCACCAGCACAAACTTGTTCGACAAGATAATCAATAATAAAATGTGTTAAAAATTGTAGAAGATCATGAGAGTCTTCAACATATGTATATAACCATTTTTTTGCTTTTGCATGAGTTTCACTACCTTTTCCTTAATCAAAAATATAAAAAATACAAAAAAAAAAAAAAAAAAAAAAATTCAAAATTTTACCTTCAATCATATAAGACATCAATGTCCATGGTGCACCACTAAATCCAATTAATGGACATCGACCATCAAGTGTATGTCTTGTTAAAGTAATGGCATCATAAACATATTTCAATTCAATACTTGCTTTTTTATTTCGATCAATAGATGTTTTTATATCAGCTGGTACATTAAGCGGATGAGCAAAACGTGGTCCTTCTTTAGCAATCATATCAACTTGCATACCAAGTGCTTGTGGTACAACAAGAATATCACTAAATATAATTGCAGCATCAAGATCAAAACGTCGTAATGGTTGAAGTGTCACTTCACAACATATTGATGGTGTTCGACAAACATCAAAAAATGAATGTTGACTTCGAATAGATAAATATTCAGGTAAATAACGACCTGCTTGACGCATTATCCATATTGGTACACGTTCAATTTTTTCACCACGACATGCTCTTAATATTAAATTATTTTTTAATGGAGGAAATTCTTTTTGTAATTGTTCATCTCCTGTTGAATTAGACATATCTACAAATTATTCTTAGACTATTTTATATTTACAAAATGAAATCTTATTTAATGAGAATTATCAAAAGGAAAATAGAATCTAGTTTTATTATTATTCGACGGAAAATATTTGTGATATGACGGAATATTGCTAAAACATTAGATCACTAGAGCAATTAGTTCTCTCAACGTAGTATATCAACAAAATTTGTATAACTTCTCCTTCTAGTTTTTACGTAGGAACTCAACCGACACCAACGTCAAGAATTTCTATTAGCATTGTATATAAAATGTCAAGGAATACTGATTGTTACTTCTACAAACCATGAATCTTCGTTTCCAACGTATCTCTTTGGTTGTTCACCAATTAATAAAAAATTGACTTTTTATAACAAAAGAAAATTCCAATGATTAAAAACTATTCATGACTTTATTTTATAACTAACCCGTAGTAAATTAATTCGATACTCACCTGATTCTCATAAGAGTTCATTTTTAGAATTGAATTACTTTGCTTTTCTGGCGAAACTCAAGAAAAAGTATTATAGGTAACATTAAAGCTGATGTTCCACCGTGTGATGTTATAACATCACAAGGTGGAACATCAGCTAAACGAATACCCTTTATTATTCTAATATATTCCTATGATGAAAACATATTGTGGAAAATATATTTATCGAAATTATCTTAACACGATCTGGTGATATATAGCATCACGAGAAATGAAAATTAATATTGAATGCATTTTGTGAAGTGACATCTAAATTTAGTGAAACATCCGAAAAAGAAATTTATTCAAGCAGATGATATATTCGTCCATATATTTTATTTTTACATAAGATGAATTTCACACAAAGGATGACTCTACATAACAGTGATGTTTGAATAAGAGTACAACAAGTTGTTTATGTGAGAACAGTATAAACGCGAGATATTGTTAAAATCAACTCCCTAATTTAAGTTAGTCATAAAAATTTAATATGATAAATAACCTGTATGAAGCGATGTATTTTGTATGCTGCAAAATAAGTTTTATTCTAAGTGCATTGATGGATTTTCAGTTTGACATAGACTTGATGATTCATGTATATCTGATCATAGGATAAAATTATCGAGATTATCTATCCCATCATCACGAAACGACTATGACAAATCTTATTGGTAAATAATACAAACGAATCATTCGTTTTATCTCGGATTATCGACATCTATATTATTGAAACACTACTTGTTTTTTTTTATTTTTAAAATTATTTTTATCTACATAAAATTTCTAACTAGACACATGAATCTTTTTCTTTCTATTTAAACATAAAATAAATTCAAAGGACTCAAAAAAAAGAAAGCAAATCTAAATCAAGAGAACATGTAAAGGCACATGTTAAAGACCAATGGCAAAAGTCCATAATGGATAAAATATAAATGCACAAGACTGAATGATTCATCGATCAATTTACATCGATTTTCTTTGTCTTTCTCGAATAGAAGGTTTTCATTTACTTAGAAGAAAAATCGAGTCTATTATTTAATTGTTTCTTATTTAGATAAACGTCAAATTTTAAAATAAGAAAAAAAAAAATTTTCTTTATTTTAATTTGTTATGAAATGGATCAACGAGAATCAGTTGAACAAAATAAAACTCTGCCAATATCTGATATTGATCAATTATGTAATTTAATTGATGAAAGTACATTGGGTGGTTCTATTCAAGGGTAAAATAAATCTTATTCTATTTATTATTTAATAAGAATAAAAATAAAATAAAATATTTAGATCTTCATATAAATCATCTAATTTATCATTACGATTTCGTTCAGTTCCTACATGTCAAGTAAAAGCATTTCGTTCATCTCGTCTTAAACGTTTAAATTCATCATCAATATCAAAAATTCAAGAACAACAAGAAGAAAATGATGATGATGATAATAATGATGTTACTGAAAAAGTATCTTGTCGTTCATTAGTTCCATATGCACGTCGAACATTATCAATGCGTTTTTCTCTATCATCTCCATCATTACTTAATCGATTTCGTTCTTTATCAACATGTCATTTTCCTCAAACACGTCGTAATACACATCTATCATCAAATATACGTTCACATCATATTCGATATTCATCACCAACAACAATAACTTTATTTCGTACAAAATCTATATTACCATCTATTATTGAAGAAGAATCAAATATTGATAATCATTCATCATCACAATCACAATCACAATCACAATTATCATGTACAATTGTTGATACACGACGGCCAGCAGCTAATTCATGTAATGTTGAAGAATTAGCTGCTTATCTTGATAATTTTCTTTATTTACCAAAATCATTATCTGGTGCAGCTGAACTTATGTATACATAATAATTATTAAAATTTTCATTTCAATTTACATAACATATTTATTTGATAATATTTATCATTAAAATATGCCTAAACAAAGAAAAGAACTAACGAAGAGAGTGAACAGTTTGTACAGAGTATTGTGTTCATTATCTATATACATATATATATATATATATTAAATTGTATGCCGTTGCTAATTAAGATCACGTCAACTAATTAATAAACCAAAATGATCAAAAAATTTATGTCTTTTTCTGCTTGATTTAAGAATATTTATAGTAGTTTTTCAATCATGAATAAAATCAAAGTTGAAATTTGTTTTCGTCAAATTAATTTTATTATTTGTATATTTATGTACGATAATCATATGTTAATCTTGTGTTCAAAAATGAATAATGTACATATGACTAACTTAAGAAGATCTTCCCTTTTCTTACCCAAAATGTTTGCTTTTTTTATTTGGTATGTGAATTTCAATGCTCTTCATCTAATGAGCACACTTTAACGAGGTAAAACTATTTTTTTTTTTGCATGTAAAAAAATTCAATCTCCTTTGCGAAAACGAGATTTTTAAACAAAAAATTGAAGTTTTCTCCTACATAGTACGACCGATTGGACTCAAACTTTTTTAATGAGTACTTCGATCACATTGAGATGCGTGTTTTTTCTCTTGAAAATATTGTGCCTATGAAGTTTAGCAGATTTTACAAAGTTGGCACGGTCCGAATAAATCTTTTTTTTGATGATGTCTCCAGTGTTTTGCTTCTCCTGAGCCTCAGGAACAATATTTTTCAAAGGAAAAAATATCAGCGCAAAAGATTCTAATATGGCCGTTTGCCGAGGGAGGAAAACTTCAGGTCATTTTTGACCCTTGGAACCCATAATCTCTCTGAACAAAGCATTTCGGAACTCTGAATCGATGACAATTTTTATTCTACTCATCAAGATTTATTTACCCTGAAAATTTCAAAAATTTTCACCATATCGTTCTCGAAATACATTGAAAAGGGAGAGTTCCCTTAAGCAGATTAAATTATTATTAGAATATTTTATAGACAAATTTAATTGATGTTTTATTTAAATGTTGGTCGTACTACGGAAAAAACGCTTAAAAAAGAGAATGTAAATGACATTACTGTCAAGTTAAGTTATAAAGATTTGTAAAAGAATATTTTTTGTTTTCAATAAATGAAAAATCTTCATAGATGTCTTTTATTTCGATAATAGTATAAAGTCGTTCTTTGTGATAAATATGAAAATAGAAGAACAAATATGTCATTTTAGTAATACAAATCGATTAACCTTCGAAATACGATTAGATTTCATTGAAAATAATATGTAGAATAATCATTTCAATTTAATATTTTCTGTTTTGTCTATAATTTTATGTCAAAAAATATTTTTACTTTCGAACAATATTAGTTTTATCACTTTTTTTTTATTTTTGTGATCACACAAAAAATAAGAAATCTATGAAGTATCGAATGTCATTCAATGATAAGAAATGTTTTGTATATTTTGAGATGATTCAAAAAAACAAATTCATTTTATTAAAATTAGGTGATTTCAAAACCGTTTTATGACCTACTCTTTTTGGACTCGGTGTATGTTTTATGTGTTGATAATCTTTAAGCTAATTAAGGAAAAGGATGTAATTTGGATATTCTCTCGTGATGATAACTCTATTCACAATTCTCGAGGCATATTCAATATAAGTCCTTACAGAATATTAATAAAATTAATCAATAAGAATTGATAGAAAATCTCAGATACTTGAACCAAAAATGACTGGAAAGTTTATTATTTTAAGACAGAAAATTCCACATTTATTTTAAAAAAAAACTATTTGACAACTTAAAAATAATTATCAATACTTATTATTTATAATAAATATTTTTGATTTATATTTCTAATTATTTTGATGAAAATATACCCATTCTAAATTAATTGTTATATGCAATAAAATTTCCTAAATCAAAAATTTAAATATTGTTCACGTCATAAAAACACTCTTGATTTTATAACTTATATTTGACATGACTGATAAGCTATCTTGGCAAATATTTTTATTAACAATTTCACGATAAATATACAATTACGTACATATTGATTACTATTTCATACGAAATATTTGACTACAAGAAAAAAGAAGAAGAATATAAGACATTAAATGTATTAGAGATTCCTTAATTATTCATCGAAAAGCAACAAGAATAAGAAGTATACATTACATATTAATATATGGAAGGTGTTCATTAGAACCTCTCAGGTTCGATCTGACCTCGAGCAGCTTCAGGTCGAGTCCGAATAGTTTCTGACTCGATGGGTTTTAGTATTCAATAATAGAGATTTCATTGTATTTGAACTCGAGAACCATATTTGTTATACAATAGTTCAATAGTATTTGCGTTATTTAATCAAGTTTAATCATCAATTGAAAGAGAAGAGAAGATTTGGTTTTTATCATTCTACGATTGTAAAAACACATCGATTTA